TAATAATAATTTAGAAAATAACTTAAAAAATCTGCTTTTATTTTTTTAAGCACTGCATCATTTTTCCAATATGCCACTTAAAAAGTTAAATAAATCCATAAAGCAATAAAGCAAGCCAGCTTGCAGCTTGTCTAGTATGAACTGCTGATACTACTTTGAGCAGTGAGTGTTTCTCTGGAGCTGAGGGGCTGGTTCAAGGTTGCTGCTGTCATTTGTCAGGATTTTAAAGTCTGTTTTTGCAATCTCTCTCTCTCTCTCTCTCTCTCTCTCTGTGTGTGTAAAAAGTTAAATAAATCCATAAAGCAATAAAGCAAGCCAGCTTGCAGCTTGTCTAGTATGAACTGCTGATACTACTTTGAGCAGTGAGTGTTTCTCTGGAGCTGAGGGGCTGGTTCAAGGTTGCTGCTGTCATTTGTCAGGATTTTAAAGTCTGTTTTTGCAATCTCTCTCTCTCTCTCTCTCTCTCTCTCTGTGTGTGTGTGTGTAAGAGGGGGGGAGAGCCCACTCACACAAGGAAAGAAAAAGAAGGGGGGACTTGAGGAATTTGTCAACTCCTTGGCTGACTCTGTGATCCAGGTCTTTAACTAGAGATTTGGGGATGGGGGGGAGGGAGAGAAAAGGGAGAGAAGCATGAAAGGAGGCTAACCAAAAAATGCCCTGCCTGGAGATTCCAAAAGGGAGTGCTTTTGGAGGAGCTCAGGGGGAGATTAAAAGTTTTCCCAAAAGAGGATGCAGACGCTGACCCCAAAACGACATGACTACCATGTAACTTTAAACCCATTTAGAACACAGCAGCAGACCAGAAGCTGATAAAACTCATCAGTGCCAAAGTGTCCTGACACTGACAAGAGTATTAGAAAAATCATGAGTATCCGTGTGCAGAAAATTGCTCTAAAACAGCCCTAAAATTACAATACTTTTAACTCCGTAGCATGAAAAATAGTTTATATAAATTTTTCGAAACAATGAGTCAGCTCCAGCAGAGTGTGGTCACTGAATTCATCACATTTCTTGGCAACTGCCTGCTTAGCTTTTTGATCTGTAAATGGAGATATGATTATAGTAAGCATTTGATAGAAGAAGAAAAGTTACACAATAGCATCACCTAGTGATTCTATCTTGAGTACAAGAGAGTAGTTAGATTTGCTAAAAAGCAAACCCAATTGTCAAGTGACCTAGACTTTAAAGACTAACCACAAAAAGACAAAACAAAATACCTAGAAAACAATTATCAATGCCAAGATTTAATTGATTTTTGCCAGGTATATGAAGGTTATGGCAGCATGGGCCCTCTGCTGCTCCAGTGGGAAAATTAAAATAAGATGAGTAATGTTTTGGTTATGATAAAGCACACTAGAGGGTATAAATATGGGAAATAAAAGTTTCCTTCCAATTACCTATGAAGCTGTAGAACACTTGGGCCCTGCCCCATTAAAGCCAAAAATTAGTAGTATAGATGTGGCTAAGCAAATGTCTAAACAAGCAGACTAATAAAGTTCTTTATTTTTGATATGAACAAATGCATATGGTGTACTTAAGTTATTTATTTGCAATATTTTTTTACCCCACCTGTCTCCTTACAAAGGACCGAAGACAGTTTACATAATTAAAGAAACAATATTTAAAGCTTAAAAACAGTAAGTAGACATTGGCTAGAAAGGATCAAATATCACACCGCATCATGGTAAACAAAAATAACACTTTCCCACACTTAGAGTTCACCCACTTAATATAGATCTCAATGCAGCTTTTATGTAAAATAATAAAATATTGGTTGATATCCTCTTGTGCAACTTTCTGCCATGCAACAAGAATGACATCAGGTGTGGCCATCCTGTGGCTATTTTTTTAATAATAAAACTTCATAGAGCCCCCTCCCCTTGGTTCTGGAAATCTCTGTGGAGCTCATTTATCCCAGGGTAGCCTTCAGGAGTAGAGATAGGGACGAATAAAAAAAAATGGTGATTTGTTCTGATCTGTTATTCATCAACGTTAAAGAATCAACCAATAAAAATATATGAATATTCTTTGACAAATCAATGAATCGATCTGTCAGTTTATCTCCACTTTAAATGGCTATGACACTGGCCCCCGGTGACCTAGAGACACCATATTTGCAGGGAAGCTTTCTCAGACGCATTTCAACAAGTCCTGAAGGTTTGGTGAACATTGAATCAAGGATCCCTGAGTTACATAATCACAAAGAGGACCCCCCCAGAAAGCTCCCCCCAGGTACTTAGAAACTCCAGAATCATGAGGGAGCTTCCTATGTTGTTCCTCAACATGCCTGCTAACTTTGGTGAAGATTGGATATAAGAACACCGAGTTATTTACTCACAAATTGGGAAGTTGGCAGCAAGGTACACAGTGGCTCTGCAGGTTAAGCTGCAGTGCTACTGAGCCACTGAGCTTGTTATAGGTGCTGCTGTTGTCGTTGCTGTTGTTGCCCACCTTGGTAAGGGGGACGTCCGGACGGACTTAGGGGGCAGAGCCCGGCTCTCATGGAATCAGGAGGAAAGGGTCCAAGCCTGGTGCTACCAACAGCGGTTCATCCGCGGGGCTGTCAGAAACAGATGCTCTGCAATCTGAAGTCGTGCAATTGGGTGATGCCCGGACAATCTTTGGGTGAGTCTGAGACAGGCCTAGGAAACTCACCTGTCACCACCAACGTCTAACTAGACTTGCTGACAACCTTCCAACAAACAAAGATGCTCGTTTAGGACTAGAAAGCTGCAACTTGGCTGCTGAGACCACCCGGATATGATAAAGATAGCCCTCAGAGGTTTGGGGGTGCTTAGACAGGCTGGCCTTCTTGGCACGTTCGGGATGTCAGGGCCAGCTTTGGGTTTGCCAACTGCCAAGAGGCCTGGCTGGCCCTCTTGTCATGTTTGGGGATGGCGACAGGCTTTGCGTGTGCCAAGAGAGGGTTGGCTGGTGCTCATCCAGGGGTGCCGGGACAGGCTCTGGGTGCTCCAAGAGAAGGTTTAGGCTTGAATGCCAAGAGGGCTGGCCTAAGGGTTAGGCTTGAATGCCAAGAGGGCTGGCCTAGGTCTGCCCCAATTAAAGGCTGTCTGCACGTCACCCCATCACCATATTGCCTGGCTTCAGATTGCAGAGCTGATCTGGTTTAACCCGTGCCAGGCAGGAGTTCTCTCCTCCCAGTCAGAGAGGTGGAAGGTGGAACAAACAGCCCGCCGGGACGATGTAACCCAGCGGGCAGGCATGCAGACAGGAGTTCAACAGTTCTCAGCCTGCTGGTCTGACTTGATCCAGCAGGCAAGCAAGCAGGCAGGTATGACTTGGTTTGAAAATAACCCGACTGGAACCGGCAGCTGGAGTTCTGATTCAGGAGAAGGTTTAAAGATCGGCAGGCAAGTAGGCAGGTCTCTTTTTTTTCCTGGATGACTGGAGGG